GTGCAGGGCCCCGCCAGCATTTTTCCTCCCACTGGAGTGAGAGTACCCATTTATCTACTCACGTGAGTTTTCGACCTGTTGGGTTGACAGGAGCTGGGGAGGCTATAGCATAATGTAAATTTCATCCATATATTCTCCCATTTTTCCATTTGTATGTTGTAACCAAAATTTTTGGCCAGTTTTATCATATATTCTTTCACTTGTTCCTCTGTTTCAAATCTCAGTAAAAGTTTATATATTTTAGCAATAATATGCCCATCATTTGTACATAATTCTGTTTCAAATTCATTCTCATAATATTCAAAACCAAATGTCCTTTTATCTACCTTAAATACAGGTAGTCCTCACTTAATGACAATTTGTTTAGCAACTGTTCGAAGTTATGATGGTGCTGAAAAAAGCTACTTATGACTAGTCCTCACACTTATGACTGTCACAGCACCCCTGTGGTCACATGATCGTGATCTGGGCGCTTGATAACCAGCCTGCACTTATGACAATTACAGCATCCCGTGGTCACATGATTACCATTTGCGACCTTCCCAGCCAGCTTCTGGCAAGCAAAATGAATGGGAAACCGCATGATTTGCTTAACAGCCATGGTGATTTGCTTAACGGCCGTGGTGATTTGCTTAACAACCACTGCAAAAAATGTCGCAAAACCGGGTATGGTTACATCATGCCTCACTTAATGACCGCCCCGCTTAACGATGAATTTTCCGGTCCCTATTGTGGACGTTAAGCAAGGACTACTTGTAATTGTACGTAGGAAAACCATTGACACATGTGTCCTAATGTCAAATCATCTCTTGATTTCATTTTTAATTCTCCCTGGGAAAAGTCTAATATATCACCATAAATTAACCATTTATGTTTAGTTAACATTTCTCTCCTATAATATCCTTCTTGTGGTAAGAGCTACAAAGGTATGTTCGGGCAGAATCTGGATTTATATCTATTCCATTTTCTCAGTATGGCCCATCTAACAAAATGATTTTTTAAAATCAACATTAACTTTAGCTTTATCATACCATAAATATCCATGCCACCCAAACATCAAATTATATCCTTCTAGATCCAGTACTCTAATTCTCAGCATCACCCACTCATTCATCCAAACTAAGCAGCAAGCTGCAAAGTATAGTTTCAAATCAGGTAAACCCAAACCTCCTCTTCCTTTAGCATCTTATAACACCTTATATTTAGCTTGTGGTTTTTTTCCCCTGCCACACAAATTTAGATACATTTTTCTGCCACTATTTAATTGGTAAATCAGTTGTCAAAACAGGTGTTGTCTGAAACAAAAATAACATTTTAGGCAAAATGTTCATCTTAATCATAGAAATTCTCCCCAACAATGACAATAGTATTTTATCCCATCTTAACGTATGTTTGTTAACTTAATTCCATGTCTGAACATAATTATTTTAAAATAATATACAGTTCATATTTGTCAGAATAACACCCAAATATTTTACCTTTTTCTCAATCTTGAAACCCATTTTGTTTATCAGTTCTGTTTGATCTTGTGTCTTCATATTTTTTGTTAGCATCTTTGTCTACTGTTTATTAATCTTAAAACCAGCTAATGCACCAAATTCCTTTAATCTTCTCATTAGTAATTCAATCCCCTTTAAAGGATCTTCCAAAACCAGTACCAGATCATCTGCAAAAGCTCTCAACTTGCCTCTCTTTTTTAATTTTTACACCCATTATCCTCTCATCTTGCCTTATATCTCTATTCAAAACTTCAAGTACCAAAACAAACAGAAGAGGGGATAATGGGCAAACTTGTCTTGTTCCTTTTTGTACCTCCCAAGGTACAGAATCACCATTAACAATTTGTGCTGTCTGTGAAGTATAAATTGATTTTACAGATTTTATAAAGTTCTCCACAAAGTTCATATCTTCCAAAACTTTAAATAAAAAGGGCCAATTTATATTGTCAAAAGCTTTCTTTGCATCTAAGAAAATTAGCATATCTTGTTTTAAATTATGCTGTTCCAAGTATTCTGTAATATCCAACACCACTCTGACATTGTCTTTTAACTGTCTTTTAGATAAAAATCCACACTGGTTTCATGAATAATTTCTTGCAGAATTATTTTCAATCTGTCTTCTAAAATCATTGTAAATAACGTATAATCATTACTCAATAATGATATTGGTCTATATTTTCTTGTTAAAGTTCTTGCCCCTTTTTAGGTATTAATGCCATATAAGCCTCTTTCCAAGTCTCTGTCATCTTTCCTCCATGTAGTATAGAAATCATTGTATTTTGGAGGGGTTGTAGAAATTCATCCTCAAAACATTTATAATAAAAACTTGTCCATAAGTGGTTTATAAAAAGTTCCTTTATCCTCATTTGGGGCATAAATTCCCAATACCATAGTTTTAGCTCCTTGTAATTCAACTTCCACCCCAACAAATCTATCGTGTTTGTCAGTCAATACAAGTTCTGGTTTTAGTTGGGGTTAATGTATAAAACAACTCCATTTATTTTT